TAGAGGGCCTTCCTCTCCTGTGCTGTCCCTCCACCCTCCCAAGCATGATGTCCCTCTCCAAGGACCAGTCTCTCCTCACAACATGTCCAAAGTATGGGAAGAAGGAAGTTAGTATAACAATAAAGGCCCAAGTTTGCTTGCTCATGGTGGATATGTGTGCACATGAACACTCATTTTATTCTCTTCTAGCTTTCCAATAGGTTGACATTCCAGTGGTCCTTTGTGGTAGACAGCTTTAATAAAATAGCCTTTGTTATCTGCCCTTTCTCTTTCTCTTTATCATCTCACCACTCTCCTACCAAAATTCCTTACTCCACCCAAATAAACTATTTGCACTCCAATCTTACCCCTCCTCCCATTTCCCAGAATCTTCTCCTGGGGAATCCAAGACAAAACATTATCTGTCTTCATGCCACAGGAATCCCCTCTGCATGCCAACTGCTTATGGAGATTCTCCCGGAATACTAAGAGTGATAGCAAATATTCTTGATTTATAAATGCTTCAGTGTATTTGATAGCTAAAAAGGCCAGCCAGTTCTTTTTTCTCCTGTGTTGAAGCATGCCTCACAGTAAGCTATATACTTAAAGAGTGTTTGTAGATTTGTAACAATCTAGGGGGGAAAAAGATCACTTTCTTTTCTGTATTCCTCTCTCTTATCTTCCATGACTATAACTTAAGTCTTTTTTCTTAAAGCTACACTTTCTGATTCTAAAATGATATTGGCATAATATTTAAATTAACAAATAAAAGATTTCATTTAAGTCCATGCTAAATGAAATATGTGTACCATGAGTTGAAACCAACTCATAGGTGACCCACCAGCAGGTTTTCAGAGGCAGTACATTGCATGGAAAGATTTTGCCCATTTTTCTCCTGCAGAGCAGCTAGTAGAATCGAGCCATGTGACTTTGGGTTTGGCAGCACAATTCCTTAACACTAAGTCACTAGATATCCTTTCATGAATCAAAATCTTCCATAGGGAAGAATCTATAGATTCCTTTGGTTGTTGTAAAATAACACTACATAGTCTTGAACATGATTCTCTATTTCTAGAGGATTCTAATTGTCTCTATTATTTCTCTGTAATAAAATACAACAAACTACTAGCTCTCTTGTACTTCTAGGTAATGATAACCATGTGGCCACTAAAATTCCTAGAATTATTTTTCTGTTTTAATTCTTTTAAAACAAGGACTTCTTAAGGAAGTAAATTTTTAAAGAGTCAAAAAAGAATTAAATATTGAATACATTTTAAAATCTCAATAAGTAATCAATTGATAAGTAATCAATCAGACCGTAACTAATTAGTAATTCTTCAGTTAATAGACTGTGAGAAACACAGGGAATCTTGGGGTAAGATAAAGAGGAAGTACTTGGAGGCTCAGGGTAATAGTTATGAAAGTCAGGAAAGAGTTTAATATATTAACAACTTGCACCATAGTACCAAGGTAAGCATTTTCAATATCAGTATTGCATCCTTGAAAGAGTTCTACTTTACAGAATAAAATCTATTCCCAACAAACCTGGAGCCTTGTAGTTTCTGAAGTTGATGTTGGCCAGAACAAAGTGGATAATAGTTGGACAATCTCTCTCCACATCTGGGTTCTTGGGTTTAAAGACATAGCACTCCTTCAATCCTTCCCGGTCAAACACATAAGGATCAATCTTCGGAAAGGGGAGCTTATTCATCTTAGCCCATTTTTCTGCAAGTAGAAGTTCCTAAGGAGAGGGGAGGAGGGAAATAACATGAAGTGTGTGTAAGATATTTTAGTCTTTATTTGCTCTTTTCATCAGGTTGTTATGTGTTGTGAAGTCGTCTGTGACTCAGCTACCCTGTGCACGACAGCTCTGAACTGTGTCCTATCATGAGTCAATCTCACTGTCTCCTACACACCTATAACCCATTACCTCTGTTACCGGGTCAATCCATCTCCTCCTGGTTCTTCCTCTCTTGCACTGTCCCTCCATTTTCTCAAGTATGATGTCCCCCTCCAAGGACTAGTCCTTTCTGGCCACATGCCCAAAGTATTTCAGACAGAACTTCAAAATCCCTGCTTCCAAGAAACAACTTGGTTTCACCCTCTTCAGGACACACTTGTTTGTTCTCTTGGAAGTCTATAGCATATTCAGTACTCTTCTCCAGGACCACAACTCAAAGGCATCAGTTCTTCTGTCATCCTGAGCCACTGTCCAGCTCTTGATGTGTAATTAGTAATTGTGAAGATCATGGCCTGTGCACCTTAGTCTGTAGATTGATACTGTTGCTTTTTAGCACTCTGGAGAGAAAAGATGACACCTCAATGTCCATTATCCAACAATCTGTTACCATTGAGTGAGAAACAACTCCTACCTAACCATCCAGTGGCTTTTGGAGGCTGTAAAATGCAATGGGGGAGACTGGTTGTTTGTTGTTTTTGGTTGGGGTTTTTTTTCCCCTCACAAAGATGCTGACTGATTCAGATCAACAAAGAGGTGCTCCCTTGGGTTAACAGCTACAAGCTACACCACCACCAGAGCTCTCTATAGTATTTATTACATTTCCAATACATGCTAGCAATGGACTGTTTGCTAAGATGAATGATGTCCCTATTCTGAAGAGACTCATCAAACTCAATCTCCACACACGTGTGTGCACAAATACAAACAGGATATATACATAAAAATAAAAAGATATGTGCCCTCAGAACCCTTTACAAATAAAATGACGATGACGATGATGATGATGATGATGATGATGAAGGCATTTGAAAAGCTACTGATGAACTAAACTGAAGTTAGGTTGATGTAATGGCAGTAAATTGCATGAGATTTTTCCCTTTGGAGTAAAATAAACTGAGGAAGTAGAATGAAGTACTAGCTATTACTGTCTTTTACCAACATTAACTTTACCAAAGTGTAAGATGTCCACCAAAGTGTACATTTGATATATGTAAACAGATTTGTGTTATGTGAAATCACACAACTCCCCCACCCCATTCCTGCTTTTCTTTGCTCTAGCTTAAGAGGAGAAGTTGGTGTCTGGCTCCTGTATGTTGTTATTCTGTGTGTGCTGGCTATGACTAGCCCATACAGAGGTTAGGTGAAGGGTATGGCATATTGTGGCAGTGCTTTTACACATCAGCTCTCTTCCTGGTGAAGATATCCACTGTCATGAGAATAAGAAAACTCATGGAACAGACCTGGTGCAGCTGAGTTGTATCTGTTAACCACCTAATACAGCTGAGAAATACATGTTTGCTAATAGCCACTGAGATTTTTGGCATGGTTTTCCCCCTGCATCAATGCTGATTAATACAATGAATAAGCAAGGGGGGGAAAGGAAGTAATAGTACTTAAATCAATATATCTCATTAACATACATTTCTATGAGTTCTCTGACCTTAGTCACCTTTTTTTTAAAAAAAATACTTCTAAATTTTTAGCTTTTACTATGATTTTAGTGAAAGTTTAAAGAACATACTGTTTTTCAATCATTCATGCACATTTGTACCATAATTTTAATTGTAATACCCAAAGTCTGATCTCACCCTTCACCCATATCAATAAATATTTATGGTTATTAATGTTCTACTCTGGGAAGAGTATTCTTATAATTAATTTTCTACTCCTCTCCCTGGTAACCATACTAGGATTATTCTTTCTATATGTAAACCTTTCTTTAGCTTTTGGTAACAATTGTCTTATATGATATTTGTCTTTTTATGACTGAAAGTCTCTTAGATTTATTATACTGAAATATAATGAGGAGCAACATTTTGAAAAATTCTAAAGAGAAAATATGGTGGAGAAATTATCATTATAGTCTTAAGTTTTAAATAATCTTGGCTTCTTTACACATTCCAGAAGGATTGTTTGCTACTTAAGTTCCAGTCTCTAAGTTAGGAATGGGAGAAACAGCTGTGAATAAATATTAACTCTCGGCCGATGATATTGAACTTGCAAGTTAAATGATTTTTATGTGCTGCAAAGTCAGAACCAACTCATCATAGCAGATCCTCCAGAAGATTTTCAGAGACTTCGAGTTACAAGGGAAAAGAGTGACCATTTTTTCTCTAGCAGAGAAATTGGTGGATTCAAATTGCATGCCTTTGGTGTAGCAGCAGCACAGTCCTTAAACACTTGGCTACCAGAGCTCCAAGTGAAACAGAGCACTCAAATAATATTTCCTGTGTAAAATCACAATAAAGTCTATAAGGGGGAAAAATTACAGTTCACCATAAGATTTTATTATACAGCTGGGTTATTTCCTCAGAGGTTTATTTATTCATTCAAGATTTGTTATTGAGCACATACTAGTAACCCATGTATAAAAGAAGTTATCTCTAAACCTTGGAGCAGCACACAGATCAGTGGATGAGATGAAACAAAGATATTATAATAACATATAACAGCACATCAAGATTGATGAACAGTAAAGTAGCTGGTTTGTGTATCTTAAAATGCCCAGCTTAAACAAGAAGTCTTAAGTCACTAGCTGGGTGACTTGGCCATATATCTCAATGACATCAGATCAACAAGGAAGAAATTCTTTTCTGGGTGACAGTATGTACTGGCATTCCTCTAACAGCTCTTTGAGGTTCTGTAAGTAAAAAAAATCAAACAAATAAGGAACTGGTTTGTACTATCCCTGAAAGAGCAGGCTTCATATTTCATTTACTCTACATTTCACTGGTTTCTTATTTCTAAGAAACTCATTTTCTACATCTGGAAAACAAAACAAGTAACTATTTTCTTCCTTCTAGGATTGCTGGGAGAAATAAACACAGTAATGTATAAAGAACTCGGTAGTCAGAGTGCTTTCTGCCTCATTTACAGTTACCTGAACCAGTGACTGGCAGAACTTCCCCCCTTTCCATCAGAGGAGTCTGACCCACAGACCTGCCTGTGTGAACATGACTCAGAAAGGTGGGGCGGAGGTTGAGCAGCAGAGGGAGTCAGTCACATCCGACCAGGACAACGAAGCTCCCAGGCGATGCCAGGATTCAAGAAGGCTAATGGAAAGCCATCAGCAATCATCCTCCTTTCAGTTTCCAGCAAGACTCATAATGTGTCTTGCTCAGAATAGTCAGGACTGTGAGCAGAAGGAAGGACTCCAGGAGCGTAGCAAGCTCCAGAGCCTGGAGTGGGGTGCAGTCATGATCTCTACTCCCTCCTCTGCTTTCTCTTCTGAGTCTTCCCTGATTTGGGGATCCCTGGAGGTGGAGACTATTTTGGGACCCCAGAGGTCCCAGGGTGCCTCCTCCTCCCCAGAGGCCATCTCAGCTGAGAACATGAGCTGTCTGGAAGGGAAGGGTGTTAGTAGTCCCAGGGCCTCGTCTAACACTGGGCGCAGGCACAGAACACAGGATAGTATGGAATTTGGTACATTTCCGGCTCTTCAAGTATCAGTGTGAGAAGCCTACCAATAAAGAAGAGATCCTGACTCTGGTCATCCAAAGAAGGTATGAGAGGCATTTCTCCAGAGACAGCACTGGAGATCATGCAGATGGTCCTTGGTGTGGAAGTGAAGGAAGCAAACCCCACTTCCCACTCCTGTGTTCTGTTCCCCTGCCTCAGGCTCACTTAGGACAAGATGGTGGGATTTCCTTGTCCAGAGCTTGCCCAAGAATGGCCTCCTGATCACAGTCCTGAGTGTCGCCTTCCTAAAAGGCAGCTGTGCCAGTGAAAAGAAGATCTGATGGATGTGCACTTTACTAATGGGGAGCCCCACAAGCTCCTCATCCAATAATGAATGAAGAATTGGGTATTTAAAGGTTAGACGGTCAACCTCCAGGTTATGAAGACTGGTGGGGCCAGTGAGTTCAAAAAGTCCTGGAGTATCTGATCAAGATCAGAGGAACTGACATAAGTTCCCTCCCCCAGCCATTAGTTGCAGGCTCTGAGAGAGGGGAGGCAAAAAGAATCAGTCCCAGATGAAATGAGGGCTCTCAGTAGGTCCCTTGGTAGTAACCCTTGAAGGCCATTATCTACCATTTCCTAACGCTTAGGCCTGGGGACAAACTTCCCTGTGAGACTGAAGAGGGTGGTCAGCCTTCAACGTAGCGGCAAGCCACGGAGGGTGTGAAGGAGGGATGGGAGAGCACAGAGCATGTTGTTGTTCTGGTTCTAGAGGACTCAATGTGGATCCTCTTCTGTGTCTTCCTCCAGTAATTTTCCAACTCTTGTTCCTTTTAATAGTTTGAACTTAAAACAAAACATAACAATTACCCACCCCAAAACTCAGTAGTTTAGACTCTGTTAAACTGGTATTTTAAAGCAGCACATTCAGCTTAATAAACAATTCCATTCAAGAACAATAAACATTCACTTCCGCTTTCACTGCTCTGGAGGCTTGCTTCTGGAATATTGTTGTTGTCACTGTGTGCCATCGAATCAGAGCCGACCCACAGCTGACCCTTCAGTGGGTTTTTAGAATCAGTAAATCATATGAGAGGATATCACCCATGATGGATTCAAACCATATGCCTTTGGGTTGGCAGCACAACCCAAGTGGTAAGGATACCGCAAAGCCACAAGACCTCCCTGGAATATGGTGAAATTTAAATTACTCAGCTCTCTCTCAATATCAAATGAATCTTTACAATAAATAGTAAAAGAAAAAAGAGAGTGATAGTATTAAGAAAAAAATTATAGTCATAATCTGAGAGAAAAAAAAAAGAACTGTATAATTATAAAGGGATTTTTTTTTTACACCATTGAGCAACAGATGACCGTGTTTC